GTAGACGTCTTTATGTCTCAAAACTCGATTCAACAAGCAACCTCATTCTTGCTGGACGCTCTAAAGGAAAATAAGCCAGAACAAGCAAATTTGCAGACCAGATTGCTTGAAATGAATCTAATGCACGCTCCTCAAGTTGCCGATGCGATTTTTAGCAACAAAATTTTCACTCATTATGACAGACCATTTATTGCCTCACTTTGTGAGAAAGCTGGTTTGTTACAAAGGGTGAGTGTCATGAAATTTTTTTTTTTTTTTTTTTTCATAACTTCATACCGGAGATTAACCTTCATGCATGCATCTAGGCCTTGGAACATTATACCGAGCCCGCAGATATAAAACGTTGCATTATTCATACCCAAATTTTAGATACAGATGTAAGTCATTTTGCTCATTTATTTCGAATAATACATATTATATAGATTAATATTTGATTTCCTCAATACTAGTTTGTAATAAACTACTTTGGAAATTTGTCGGTCGATCACTCTATCGAATGCTTGAATGAAATGCTTAAATTCAATATTCGGCAAAATTTGCAAGTTGTGGTTAAGATAGCTACCAAATATTCGGAACAGCTGCAGCCTCTTAATTTGATTCAGTTATTCGAATCATACAAAACATACGAAGGTCCATTTTTATTCTTGATTTATTAAATGGTTTATTAAATACGTATTCCGGAATGTCGCTTATATTCTTTCTTCTTGGCAGGCTTGTACTATTACCTTGGGTCCATCGTAAATCTCAGCACTGATCCCGATGTTCATTTCAAGTACATTCAGGCTGCTGTAAAGATCGGGCAAATTAAAGAGGTTGAGAGAATCTGCCGTGAAAGTCAATTCTATGATCCCGAAAAAGTGAAGAATTTCCTAAAGGTATTATTAACTCAGATCAAGGGGTTTTTCTATTTAATAAAGATATTCTTTACCGTTCCATTTCCGTTATTTAACACGCTGTTTTCATCGAATTTCAGGAGGTCAAACTTTCCGACCAACTTCCCTTGATTATCGTTTGTGACAGATTTGACTTTGTTCATGATTTAGTATTATATTTATACCAACAAAACTTGACAAAGTATATCGAGGTCTATGTACAAAAAGTTAACCCAGCTCGCACCCCAGTAGTTATTGGTGGTCTCCTTGATGTCGACTGTGATGAAACAATAATCAGGAGCCTTTTGATGTCTGTCACTGGTCCTGTACCCATTGACCAACTTGTCCAAGAAGTTGAAAAACGCAATCGGCTTAAGTTGCTTTTGCCATGGTTAGA